TGAGTGGCAAGTCCGACTCAAGTCTCAAGTCAAGGACCAACAAGTCCAAGTCAGGTCTCAAGTCTTAGCACTCAAGTCCCAAGTCCAGACTGATCGTGAGTGGCAAGTCCAAGTCTAGTCTCAAGTCAAAGACCAACAAGTCCAAGTCAGGTCTCAAGTCTTAGCACTCAAGTCCCAAGTCGAGTCCCAAGTCCAGACTGAGGAGTGGCAAGTCCGAGTCAAGTCTCAAGTCAAGGACCAACAAGTCCAAGTCAGGTCTCAAGTCTTAGCACTCAAGTCCCAAGTCGAGTCCCAAGTCCAGACTGATCGTGAGTGGCAAGTCCGAGTCAAGTCTCAAGTCAAGGACCAACAAGTCCAAGTCAGGTCCCAAGTCTTAGCACTCAAGTCCCAAGTCCAGACTGATCGTGAGTGGCAAGTCCGAGTCAAGTCTCAAGTCAAAGACCAACAAGTCCGAGTCAGGTCTCAAGTCTTAGCACTCAAGTCCCAAGTTGAGTCCCAAGTCCAGACTGATCGTGAGTGGCAAGTCCGAGTCAAGTCTCAAGTCAAGGACCAACAAGTCCAAGTCAGGTCTCAAGTCTTAGCACTCAAGTCCCAAGTCCAGACTGATCGTGAGTGGCAAGTCCGAGTCAAGTCTCAAGTCAAGGACCAACAAGTCCGAGTCAAGTCTCAAGTCTTAGCACTCAAGTCCCAAGTCGAGTCCCAAGTCCAGACTGATCGTGAGTGGCAAGTCCGAGTCAAGTCTCAAGTCAAGGACCAACAAGTCCGAGTCAAGTCTCAAGTCCAGACTGATCGTGAGTGGCAAGTCCGAGTCAAGTCCTAAACTTTGAGTTTCGAGTCCTAAACAAGTCATAATGCGCTCTTCAAGTTTTTTCAAGTTAAAAATAAAACAATGTATTGAATGAAGCGTTAGCCTGTACAGAAAGAAGGCAGAGCCGTAGTTTCACACAACAAATTTCATGAATTAAATTAAATGTTCATGTAGGGCTGCTAATTATTTTGGTCAATATTGAGATCACAATTATTTAACAGGATTACTCATCGCCTTAGGAAACATTAACTATTGAAATTTAATACTTTCTTAGTAAAAACTAGGCTACTATATATGCATTACTCAAAAATCCCAAATAGCCCATGAAATAAGAAACAATAATCCGACATTATTAACTTGAAGCAGCATCTAGTGTGCAAGAGGAGGACAGCAGCACAGTTTCCCCAAGTTGAGCTTTGGGTGACGGATGGGTCACTGAGGGGGGTGTGTGTGTGTGTGTGTGTGTGTGTGTGTGTGTGTGTGTACGCGGAGGGGAGCAGGTGACAGGTGAACTATTAAGTTACGTTACAGAACGCTGAAATAAAACCGTGGTGTTTTGTCTGGAGATGCAGTGACAGAAACCAGCGGTGAGAAAACTACAAATCGCTCTGACGTTAGAAGACGCAGACACATTGGATATTTTACAAGAACCGATCAGGTAAAGCAACACTGAACACACCTCTTAGGGAGGGACTGTGAAGGAAAGGGGTGCGCTGGATTTATAAAAGAAAACGAGTGTGGTTTTGAAACAGCACCCGGCGCTATTATGTTTTTATAATTGGTGGAAGCAGCTTCACGCAACAGCTGCAGCAGTCTCTCTACACTGCTTCCACCTGACCTTTCTTTTCTCCGTGAGGTGGAGGAATTTAGTGCGTCAGGCCCACAGCTGTTGTGCATGATTTATGCGTAAAATTCCTCCAGCCAGAGGGAACGATCAGGAACCGTTCCCAGCGCGCTGGTAGTAGGCCTGCCACACAACCCATTGTAGGTACCGGAGAGGGGGTGGGTCGCTGGTTGTTCCCTCCTGCTGGAGGAAGCCGCACGCTCCAGTCTAATGGAGCACCGCGCCATGTTGATGCGCTGCATAAAATCATAATTTATATTCGGGCACGGGGAGTGTCAAGTCAGCGCGAGTCAAAAGTCCAAGTGAAGTCACGAGTCATTGCTGTTCAAGTCAAAGTCGAGTCGCAAGTCTTCTTTGATTTTGTCAATTCGAGTCTAAAGTCATCATTTTTGTGAGTCCACACTTCTGCTGACTCCTGTATCCAAGGGGGGGATTGAGCTGAATAATAACAACATTAACAGTGTCGACAGGGCTCCGCTGGCATTCCTAAACGTGCAGCTGCGCTGATCCCATCCATGTTTTCTGGCTTTGGCACAGGAAGATGACAAATCTACAGAGGTTCTCATGATAACCTGGACTCCTGTGCACCCACAGAACCTATTGATGGTGGTTTTGGATCAGTTTAAAAACCCTTCCCAATCTCTTGCTTCAAGTTAGCATTGACCACGATCTTTCCCTAACTAAGCATTTTGAGTGTCCTAAGCGTAACCATTAAAACAGGAGTCATGCTGCAGTGAGCAGACAATGAAGAAAACATCTGACTTACATTGAGAATGAATGTTTTTCAGATGTGTTCAATGAAAATGTTGCCTTGTATGTTTACTTAATCTGGACATTACTACATTTAACCTCTCTGCACAAATATTTTTTTTATTTAACTAGTGAAGTTGAACTAATGCATTAATTTTCAACAATTAAAGGAATCAGTGTTTCATGTTGGGTATACAAACAAAAAAAAAACATTGGGTTAGTTTTTAAAGCCATTCTCAAATCCCAGCTTGTTCTGATGCTGCATTGCATTCTGGTCCATTTTCATGCTTGTGTGTGTGTGTGTGTGGGGGGGGGGATGTGTCCCTGTACCTCTTCCTCTAATGGCTTTCCTACTGTATTATTGTTGCTCTGGAAAGATGCCTTCTTTGATTCAGAGCCTGGAACATTTTCTGCTATCAGACTCCATTTCTTTGGGCTTAAAATACCCTGATTTGACGTCATCGTTGACGTCGATTTGGCCCTTTTATCCACAGGAATTGCAAAAACTCCCCAAACAAAACGAGCTCAGAGATGCAGTTTACCAGCATGTCTGACTGATGGTGTCTGTGAACAAACTGCTGCTACAGTTTGTCTCTGCAGCACAGAGGTCTAAACTCAGTTTACCCTGCGGCCTGCTGAGGTGCCAACTGCCAGTAAATCCAGAGCACAGCCGGCAGGTTAGCACTGAAACGGCTTCAGGCAGCAGTCTGTATGTCCGGACATTTTACTCTTCATCGTTTTATGACACTCACCTGCGGCTGCTGGCAAACATGATGTAATTCTGTTATATGACAGGAAATTGGGGGTTTAGGTGTTATTTCATATTTTTCTCTTTGTCAACAAACCATGATAAGATCAAAACTAACAACAACAAACAAGAGGAAATGGGGCCTCTTCTGGGGACTATTTTCAGCGACGGATGAATCCACACGTGGTTCTCTAGTGTGCGGCAGCAGGACGGTGTGTGTGGGACTGTGTCAGAATAAACTTCTGTGTGTTCGTGGTGAAGGAACATGTCAGCCAGAGCAGCAGTGAGGCTCACTGATGTGGTTTAATAGTTTCTGGACAACGTCCGGCTGAGACACACACAGGACTTGTTCGGAGATTCATTCATAGTTAGTTTTGGTCTTTTCATGGGATTTGTTGACACAAACATAGAATAATAACCGCCCTTTACTTTGACTGAAAATAAGTCAGCATGATGAAAGGCTTTGTCACTGGTGCATCATGCTCACGCGTCATGAGGACAGGAGGACAGGAGGAACAGCCAGGTGTCTGGATGATGACACTGAGCCTGCTGTGTAGCGTTACATACTGGCACACAGTGCAGCCGTAAGTGAACTCAGGCAGGTGGTTGACTGCTGCACTCAAACTGTGTAAGGAGACTGTAACGTCTTGTCACCACAGCTTTATTATTGTGTGCTTAGTAACCAGTGCATCAGTGTACACGGCAGAAAACCAGATCAACTGATGAACAACAGATTACATCAGTCTTCAGTGCGATTACTCTGATCTTTCTGAAAAGCTAAAACATGTTTTCTGTTCATATTCTAAGATAAATTAATATGCAGCATACTGCCGTACTGTATTAGTATTTAAACAGGTCCAGCTCCCATGATGCCCGCATGATGTTTGGAGAGTGTTTCCGTAGTAATAAATCCCATAGTGCCGCTGTTAAATGATAACAAAATAATCAATGTATTTATCTTAGAAAACCACACAGTGTTAGAAAGGCTACATGAAACAGAAGTTATCTTAAAACATTTGCTTCTAAGGTTGACAAAGCCACTGCTAACGCAACGTTGGAAGTAAAGACGAATCCGCTACGTGTATTTCCATCATTGGCAAGAGGCCCAGGTAGAAGCAACAATCCTGTTACATTTAGAGTTTTTGGCTGTCAGTTGGTGGTCTACGTTGGTCCATACTGATACTATTGGATGCATGTCCATGACATTCTGTACAGCCAGCCAGGCGAACTTGATATAGATCAACACATTCTCACTCCTGACTCGTCACATATTGACACTTGGTCAATATGTTGCTTATTAACGCCCTCAGTACCCCTTTTGCATCATCTTTAGACATTTAGGGCTCTGTGGTCAAGTTAGCAACGCTTAGCAACAACAATATGCAACGTCTGGTAAAGTTAGCAACAATAGGTATGCAACCTTTGGTTACACTTTTAAAATAAAATGCTAGCGTTTCGAAACATGGCCTTTTGGAAACGGCACGTTATTAAAGTTGTGAAATGTTTGGTTAGGTTTGGGCACAAGAACTACTTGGTTAGATTTGGAAAAAAATCACGGTTTGAGTTAAAATAACTACGTTAACTAAGTTAACTTATGTCACTTGCCTAACTTAAATAAAAAATAATGATAATAAAAAAATGAATGTTGAATTTTTGTTTCAAACGGGACACAGACACCGCTCTCCTGGTTCAAAGTCCAGATCTGGCCCTCCATCCACCCCAAACACCTCCTCAGTCTTTTGTGTTAAATATCATATGCCTGACGCTACAGGCCCCCCCCCCCCCCCCCCCCCCCACTGCGCTGAACTATGACGCTACAGGGATCCCCAGTGCGTTACAAACTGACGCCGATGGGTCTGGACCCTGCGTCCATATCACGAGTCTGGGAGGGAGAACGGGTTGTATAGATTGTAACTGTTTCACATCAGCGTGTCAGCATTGTGAGCGTGTTTGCATTTAGCCCAAAGCTCAGCTGTGCTGTAGACTCTTAACTGGTTGATGTGAAACAGAAACAATTTTCACTTTGCTGTATCTGAAAGGGCCGTATTCACTTTTTGATGACCCAAGTATGAGTGTGTAAATGTAGAAGTGTCAGGCATCAAACAAACAGACCGTCAGCCATCACAAGTGAACCGGTCCAGAGGTTAAATGTTTGAGTTTTTGTTTCAGCAAGCACATAACAACATGGGTGTGAAAACAGCCAAGGGCCGATGGTGTGATTAACATGACATAACAAAAACAAACTGTGTGTGTGTGTGTGTGTGTGTTTCCATTACTTGTCCAGGCTACAGGTTCTGGCTTGAGTCCAGTAAAACAGGCCTGTGGTGGTTTTAGTTCGAGGATGACATGAACATCAGACTGTTTGCTGTACATGAGGATGATCTCTTTAATGACTTTCTGTAACCGATTTTATGTTTTTCTGTGTTTCTCTCCAGGTGGAGCGGGAGATAGCCATTCTGAAACTCATAGAGCATCCTCACGTTTTAAAGCTGCATGATGTCTATGAAAATAAGAAGTACCTGTAAGTACATTTGTCTTCAGCTGCAGTCACTGTGAGCAACGACATCGTCACTTTTTTGATTAAAGATTAAAGATGCAAATTTCTTTTTGTTTTGCCTTTGGCCCCACTCAGATTTAATATGCAGGAAATGTACTTTAATAAAGAGGCACCTGAGTGGGGGATTCATGACATTGGTGGGTTCCAATCACCTAGTAGTTCCCTGCTAAGTGGGCGAAGAACTGTGAACTGCAAAGGGAAGAAGTGAAGAAGAACGGTTCATCAGTTTTGCCGGAAGTTGGCAACAAAATTACCCATCAGCCTTTGCACCTCATAGGAGTGGAAAAAAATGCAGTTTTTCCATTACCGGTACCGTGCTCCGTTTTCCATTGCAGAGAGTACCCAGAGATGGCACCCCTCAATGTAGCTGGTCGTCACAGCGACAACTGCGGCGACGTAATGTTCAATGCGACACACACACCAGCGAGCCACACAGCTTTCTCTTTTTAAGTTAAAGCGTTTGAACCTTCCTCAGAATGTAAAGACAGATGAGCGGTATGAAAACCTTCCAGCTGTGTTTTCCTCTGCCGTCGTTACTGCAGCGGTCTGTGTGACGGCGGGAGCAGAGGGCTCTGTGATTGGGCGGCCGGCCGGCCTCACACGCTCCTCCCGCAGCTCAACTCCGAAAACTTTCTAGCACATTTTTGTTCCGCCATCACTTCTCGTAAAACTGTCAATATTGGAAATCTACACAGCTGATTTCTCAGCTCAAAACTTCTCAGAAGTGGATTTAGTGATGAAATAACGCATGAAAATTGTAAAATATAAAACTTCCTGCTGCTGGCCTCTGTCTGGCACTAGTGACGATCCTCTCTGACCAATCAGCAGTCTGTCACATTTTAGTATTGCCTCAGCTCGCTTGGAACCTCGCGGAGGTGAGGTGATACGAAAAAAGTACCTGTTACAGGTCCAACTTTTCCCCAATGGAAAACCAAAAAATGGCGAGTGGAGCTGGAACCGTGGAAAAGGGGCTAAATAAACAATGGAGCAGACAGAGGAGTTTATGTCTGTAGCTGCTGTCATTGTAACTAATATTATCATTATTTATATGACTATTTAAGTGGTTATGTTACCTAAAAACAACAGTGCTCATTTGACGCCCCACATCTTGTAAATTAATCAAATCACATTTACTGACAAGTTAGATACGTTTCAATAAAATAGAATTTCATTCCAATCAGTTTCAGTAATATTTGACAATCTATAACTTTATTGCTGAGATGTGCTGAATTTCCAGGGTTAAAGCAAAGTAATGTTGGCCTCACGACACATATAATAATAAATAATGCACAAATCGAAACTAAATTTATGTAAAATATTTGAAATGTCTGACATTAACAAGCAGGTTTCAAAGACTTCTGTAACGTCCGGCTTTGCTGCTGAACATAAACATACATTGTTTAAGCTGGTTAAAAATAAATGCTTGTTTTATCAAAAGGAAAATCTCCACTGTTCCACTGAGTTTCATTTCTCTGCAGTGACGGTGCCGCCCGTTTATTAGTGTTCTTCAGTAGCCATGAATTTATGTTGTTGAATATCTATGTAGGCAGGCAACACAATGTAGACCTGAAAAGGGGAAAAAGTCTTTATAGTGTCCAGCAAACATGTTCACATCCGTAATCGCCACGGGAGTCTCTTCCTAGCAGTGTCGCGGGACACGCCCACAGAGGGGTGAGATTTCCACAAATATGTTCACAAACTTTTTTAAAAGTAGAGAAGATGCAGTGTCATGGTTTCATTTACAGTTTGACTTTAAGGGCTGATAAAGCATGTAAATGAAAACCCACGTCTAAATTATACTCGACGGCTCTGCAGAACAGTTTAACTCGAGCACCTTCCCTTCACGCAGCAGTTTGAGCTCTGGCATTTTATTAAAGCGTGAAATGTTTATTAGGCCCCCTCACTTTAACCTGCTCCCTGCGACTGTGGAGCTTTAATGTATATCCGTGTTTTGTTGTATACATTAATCTGCTACATGTGGCGGCTGTGCTCCAGTGGCGCGGCTTAATGCGCTGTTCAATAATTGATAAAGCCAACGCCGTCAAGTGGAGCGGGAATTTGTTCTCTTAATATTGCGAGGACAGGGACGGATGGTCATCGTGGATGCAAACAGTTTGCGGTGGAAAAATTCCCACTCACAAATCACAAGCCAACACGTTTCTAATTTAAATAGCTCCGACAGGCAAACGCTTGAGCAGATCCCTTAATCTGCTAATAAATCAGTCCGTGGGGGAGGCGGGCTGCAGGAGGCGAGGATCGACGACGTCTCCGAGACAAATGAACGGATAGAGAAAACATTTTAAAGCACAGGCACACAAACCAAACCTGGATGGGGATTTAGTGTCTGCATCAGTGTACTGTGGTAGCTTCAGCATGTCATAGCCAAATCTTTAGGAATTATTATGATCAGTAATACCTCTTTGATTCTGAGGACAAATGTATTTTAGGATTTGAGGGTGTTTGCTCTCTGTGTGGACTCAAAGGTGGGGTAGTACTTAGTTTTTTGCTTCTGTGACTTTACTTGAGTATTTCCATGGCAAATATTCATCCCCTCTTTTTATTCTGTAGGAGTTATCGTACTTGTTTGTTACTTTCTTGTCTGATTTTGCTGATAAGATCATAAGATACTGCTGTTAGGTTCAAGTCCTGTATCTAAAATCCTGCACATTCGATCACTTGAACTCACATTAGTAATGATAAATAATAAATGAGTAGTTATTCCTTCACCGACGTACTTGATCTGTTTTCCGCTCTCTTCCTGTGTGCAGGTACCTGGTGCTGGAGCATGTGTCTGGGGGAGAACTGTTTGACTACCTGGTGAAAAAGGGCCGGTTAACACCTAAAGAGGCCAGAAAGTTCTTCAGACAGATCATCTCAGCCCTGGACTTCTGCCACAGCCACTCCATATGGTCAGATACCTTTTTCTTCTATCATTTTAATCATTAGGTTGGGATTTGACAGTTGTGTTGCGCACAGCTTGGCACTCAGGTTGGGTATGATTTCTTTCTAATTATCTACTGTTGAACTAGTTGGAAATCCCAATGTTATGTTTAGAAAACACATTGGGGAATATTTACTGAGCATTTGCAGGCCTGCAGATCAGATGAACTTCAGCTCATTTAGGCCTGTCTTCTTCATCTTTCCCACTGAATTGAAAAATTGCAGTGACACAGAGTACGACGCCCTCTATTCAATTCAATTCAATTCAATTTTATTTATATAGCGCCAAATCACAACAACAGTTATCTCACAGCGCTTTTCATAAAATAGCAGGTCTAGACCGAACTCTGTGATGATATTTACAGAAGCCCAACAGTTCCCACCAAGAGCAGCACTAGGAGACAGAGGCAAGGAAAAACTTCCTTTTAAGAGGCAGAAACCTCGAGCAGAACCATGGCTCAGAGTGGGCGGCCATCTGCCTCGACCGGTTGGGGTGAGAGAGAGAGAGAGAGAGAGAAAGAGAGAGAGAAAGAGAGTGAAAGAGAGAGAGAGAGAGAAAGAGACACCCTCTGTCCTTACAGCCTCGATTCGGATCCTTGCGTCGAGGCGGCACGCCATTTATTAGCCAAGAATTCTTTATGAAGTCGTATTCCTAGAAGAACTGAAGTGTTTGCTCAGTTTTGGTGACTGAACAACAGGTTCCCTCCCGTGTGCCTCCTCTTCAGCCTCTTTCCTCATCAGCTGTAGCCGGGGGTGGCTTTAGAGGGTCCAGCTCCTCTTGATCTCTTTTCATCTGTGAGAGCACCTTTAGTTCCTCGGTGCATGGCTGCAACGCTGTGTATCTAAGAGCAACTGCACATCAAAGACGTTCTGCCTCTCAGCATGAGACATCAACTGTTTAGCTTTGAAGAACTGGATTTGTTCTGTGATGTGTGTTTCCTGGATGAACCGGGAAAAGTCAAGCTCGTATCTACCGGTTTCATTTCCCTCACTCGTTTTGAGTAAAAGGGTAGATACTGACTTGGATCAGTTCTTGATAATTGGATTGCCGTACAGTAGCCTTTACAACAGAAGAAAGCCTGTAGGTGTGAAGGCTTTCAGGACTAATTGTTTCCCATTTCGCCCACACCACCTCCAAAGTTGAAGCATAAAAGCAAAGTGCCCACTCGATTCAAATATTATTTTACATGAAATTACAGCAAAGAAGCAGAAGTAAAATGGTCATTGTCAGAATGCCAGTGGATGGAGGAAGTGCTCTGTCAAAGGAAACAGGATGTCATTTGAAACGCTTCTTCAGCTGAAGAACTGTTCCAGAAGTGAAGAAGCTGAGAGGCTGAGAGGCGCAACATCTTCCAGTTGCTTTTGACTTACAGTTTCGAGATATCTCATGAACCAGACAGTTAAGCAGTTAAGTCTTCAGAGGCCAAAAGATTTCTGTCTGACCCAAAATAAACCATATATCCAACATCATCAACTGGAGTAAGTAACAAAAAAGGGAGTGACACCTTTTATTGAGGTACTAGAACTTTAACATTCGCTTTTTTTTAGTTTAAGCAAAAATGAAATACTAATAAAACCCAAAACAAGCTGGTGGAGGCCTGGATGGATGCAGAGACGGAGGTTATTGATTCCAGGTGTCAGGATGGTCGTCACTTTTCAATTTAAATCAACATTTCAATCTCTTTCTTCTGTTTCCTGTCCTGTCGTCCTGCAGCCACAGAGATTTGAAGCCTGAGAACTTGTTGTTAGACGAGAAGAACAACATCAGGATAGCAGACTTTGGCATGGCGTCTCTGCAGGTCGGGGACAGTCTGCTGGAGACCAGCTGTGGGTGAGTGTTTTCAGCCACATCGAGTAAATCTTCACACTCAAGTCCCAGAGTCCTAAACAGTGCGCAATGTGTTGTTTGATTGTCTTTTCTTTTTCACCTTTTGTTCATCCTGTCTCGGAGTTGACACCCCTTCTTCACACATAACACTGCAGCTGACAACCTAAAGGTAGAAAGGGATGGAGCAGAGTCCTTGCTCTTGCCCACGTTGCCACACAACTCCTGCAGAAGCAGCAACACGTCTTTGTTGCTTTTGTTATTGTGAAATAAACGATGTCTTGTTGCCATGTCAGAATGTGGAGTCATGAACAGGATATTCTTAGTGCCTCAGAAAACATTGTTTATTGAGCTTCCTGTTCTTGTCTCTTCCTGATGCAACAAAGTCTGGATGGTAACAAAGTAGTTTCGGATTCTTCGCGCTGTGCAAGTATGGAAAGATGAATCCTACAGGAAATGAAGTAAAGGCGGTTTTAAGTAAAACACGTGTCCAATCTTAAAGGAATAAAGAAAACGGAGCAACATTATTAAGCAACCCCCCCTTCAGACAACTATTTTATTTGAGTAAATTAATAAAATATTGGGTGCATCTTTAAAATAACACACCAGCTTTAGTGAGATGCGTGTCTTGCTGATGTGGGCTGCCGTCTAAAGATGCTGCGGCTCCTGTAAGGTCCCGGTTGTTTGTTCCGCAGGCTTTAGAAAGCTCTGCAAGATACAGGCTGATCCGATGTGTCCCGCTCGCCACAGTTAACCTCAGGCCAACCTGTGTTTCATGGAGTCAGTCATGTGGAACAGCTAAAGCCAGACTCCTCCGGTTGCACAAGGGAGAGAGAGAAGAACATGTTGTTACTGGGCAAAATGTTCTGCCTACAGTTACTGATTAGTCCTCAGTATAATTCAAACACTTGAAATAATGCGACACAGAAGGGTTTATGTTAAAATAAATGTGTATGTTCTGATGGCCACGACGGGAAGCTCACCTGTGTGGTCGTTAATGAAGCAAACATGACAACTGCAGTCAGAACCACTACGATCCCAGTTAGAATGAATTTGGTGATTTAAGGTCAAAAGATTTTACATATCTGCAGCAGCTTTTAAATTACTTCATTTTAATAATTACATGTTGAAATACAGTTTCATTGTACAGTATGTGCTCCCGTTACATTGGACGCACAAAATCAAGATCTGTTTCCTCCTTTGTTCCTGTTTGACTGAATCATGCAGTTCTTATCCGTTGCTGTGTAGATGTAGATATTTCAAACTATCCATTATTCTGAGCCCCTCTAGGACATGTTGACTTAAAAATGGATCTTTACAGTTCATTCTTGACCTTAATCTGCTTAATCTCATTAAATGTGTTGATGAGGATGTGATATGGTCAAAAGTAAGTAAGGAAGGTATTACAGTATATCTTTAATATATAGAACTTTTAAAAACCAGCATTACAAAGGGCTTCACCACTACAAAAACACTTAAAATATACAATAAATAATAAATAACAAAGCGTCCCACATCCAGGTTTTGTCCCTCGTGGGTTCATCCGGCCCTTGTCAAACTCATATTTTAGCCCAGTTTTACTTAAATGCCAGATATCTTTGACCTGGAAATGACCACAGCCATGCTTACAGGATGTAAGAAATGCCAAGGGGTTTCCATGTGTACAGAGACGCACTGTTTTGTATCGTGCAGACGCAACATAAGACGACATAAGTGACCAGTGCAAAGAACAGAGCGTCTGTCAGACACTTCGCTGATGCAGACGGGTTTTATGAAGAACCTCTGAAGGATGCTGTAAATATCTCGCATGAGTAACAAGATGACTCTTCCACTTCATATGACGTTAATGAAATTCATTAAATGTCACTCAGCGACCGAGTCGCTTCAAGCAGGAAGGATGAAAATTTGCTCTGGTGTAATTATATTGCAGTTAGTGCATTTTGACACGTCTGTGTTTGGGTAGTTCAGATCGACTGGTTCTACATACATTAGCATAATTAAGTATGATGTTGGCAATGATGGACGGTGTGTTTACTGTGGGATCTGTGCTCGTGTAGCGCAGAGTTGGAAGAGTTGCGCTCTCTTGCTTCATTTGTTGTGATTAATCCACGCTGAGGAAGGCCGGAAAAATGTTGGGTTGTTCAGGAGATGTTGAGCACACACACCGCAGATCTTTATGACTGCAGCTCCGGTCGTGGCCCGTTCCCGAGTCCTCCCTTTCCTCCTTCAGTTCTTGTGTTCTTCTTTTACCTTTTATCTCAGAAGATCTGAAGCCATCAACATCCCCCAAAACTTAACTGCTCTTCTTCACTATCAATAATTATACTTTCAGACTTGTACTTTTTGGTTAAAGGTGCATTCCTCATCATCACACATTGCTCCAGCTTCTCTCCGTTGGCTCCTTGTCACTTCTACAATTGTTTTTAAAATGTAGCTTTTGACCTGCAAAGTATGAAGTGGACGGGGGCCCCCTGGCTTTTCCAAGGTCAAAGGTGATCATGCTTGTGCAACACATGCTCACTCCCGACTCGTCACATAATGATGCTGAGTCAAGGCCATTTGGCGTCACTTTTTAACGCCCCGGGTACCCCATTAGCGTCATTTTTAGACGTTTGAGGCTCCGCGGTCAAGTTAGCATCCGGTAAAGTTAGCAACAATACATATGTAGCATCCGGTTACACTTTCACATTGCCGTTTTGAATGGACTTCCCATGAGTGTCTGTGATGAATTCCTCGGATTTTACGGAAGTACACGTGATTTGCATCTAAAATAAGCTAAAAACACTGTTGTGCTCCTTTTTATATAAAGCATTTCACTACTTTGGCTGTTGTTTGCTGTGAAATTGTGTCACATTGTGGAGACGGTGTCGGATGCTGTCATATGTTATTCAACAGGATGAGCCATCATCACAAGAATTTGGACTGAGGCCATTTCATGTTATGTAATGCTCACTCAGCTAACAACTAATAATCCACATCAGGCAGTAAAAGTGTCCTGGATGTTTTTGGTTAAAGTGGTTTATATTTCTTCAGAGATTCACCTGGTCACTTTATTCCTCGTGTACAGGTTGTGGCTGCTGGCTGAGTGTGCAGTCTTGTGTGATTTTGTATGTGGACTCTCCAGCATAACCGCCTCTTTGCCTCTTCTACAGATCTCCGCACTACGCCTGCCCAGAGGTTATCAGGGTAAGTGCTCTCTCTGTGTTTCGTTCTTTCATACAGTAAAAGCGGCTCCGGCTGCACTCTGCAGAATGGCTCTTACGTCTCCTCTCTGCATTCACTGCGCTCGGCCTCTTCGTCCTTCACTGGATTGAAACACACTTAAAAGATCAGATTTTTGTGACGTAGTCTTGCACGTCTTTGTCCATTTCCTCATCTTCCTGTGAACATCAGTCCAAAACCCAACGATGATGCCCCCCCCCCCCCCCCCCCCCCTTTTATCTAATGTACACCACAATGATGAAGACTTCCTTATTCATTTTCTATTTTGCAAACACGGGCACACATTTGGTTTTAACTTTGTTTGGGGCATTTTTCTGCTGGACGACCGACGTACGCTGTGTGTGTGTGTGTGTGTGTGTGTGTGTGTGTGTGTGTGTGTGTGTGTGTGTGTGTGTGTGTGTGTGTGTGTGTGTGTGTGTGTGTGTGTGTTTGCCCTCCATCCCTTTTTTCTCTTTTTATGTGCACACACACATAGAGTTTTGTTCAATATGTATTTGGTTATATAATTAGCCTGAAACAGCGCTTGTATCGTGGGACGTTTTAATCTGATTTTAAACAGATGTTGTACGGTTTATTTTGTTAATGTAAACCTTGGAGTAAAATTAATATTTAAAATGTAAATATGATAGATTTTCAAAATAAATGTTACAAGAAAATACCAGTAACACAACAAGGAGTTAAAATTCAGCAGCATCTTGACATAATGTCCCAACTGTCCTAGATCCACGCCTGTGTTTGTATTTGCATTTTGGGAATCAAAGAAAGCAACTAACTGACATGCCGACATGTTAGAACAGGTAGGTTTTCATCCCAAAGCAACGCCTGCAGTGCAGTCGCCATCACATTGCTGATGTTACGTTGAAGCAGGGTGTGAACTACGGGGGAGCTTAATAAGACATCAGCTCCCCTAAAAGCATGATTTATGATATTTCAGGTTGGTCTCTAAAATATTGACAGCATGATTTATTGCCATTCATTTCTACATTTCTCTATCATCATGGATCCATGCGTAAAATCAGGACTGTCAGACTTCATCCAGACCGAGGGAACAATCACAGACAGTCCGCAGCGGGTCGGTCGCTCCGCGATCTCCTGACCCCGGACGCCCCCGACGCCCCCAACGCCCCAATACTGTGAACGGCTTGTGAATGTTCCCTCTTGCTGGGTGAATATTACCGTGCACTCCTGCAGCTGGGGGCTCTCCGCAGCGTCGCACAACTTTCTGAATTCTTCCCTCTCATGGAGAAAAGAAAGGTCAGGTCGCAAACACAGCCGCAGCTGTTGTGTGAAGCGTAATTGTAGCAAAATGGCTACATATGATAATGAGACAAACATGCCTGATACGTTGACAGTCACCCCCCCAAAGCGAGCTCCCCCGAAAGCTATGGGATAGTTTGCACACTGCACTGAAGGAACATCCATAAATGGGTGCGGTTTTTTTCCATTAAGTAAGCTGCCAACGCTCAGAGCAGTCAGGGCGATTCGCAGTTCGGGAAAAAGAATGAATGTTGCACAGAGTTTATGATGTGAATCTCATCGCTGTCTGTCTTCACCAGGGAGAGAAGTATGACGGGAGGAAAGCAGATGCATGGAGCTGTGGAGTTATCCTGTTTGCACTTTTAGTGGTGAGTCACAGCCGATGCACCAAAACAGCAGCAGCAAAAGCAAATAAACGGACCTTGTTCCTTGGAGTGAAAGTCAGGTGGCACTTGGTCCTAATGTTGAATTACAGAATTAGTGGATTCACAGATTTCAATTTGGGCTTTAATATCCAAAGGGATTTTATTTAGACGTAAGGTCCCGTTATGTTATTCACTGCCTATTGGCCAGCTCCAGGATTTGTCTCATCAGGATGTTACATCATCTCTACAGAATGGAGTCGAAGCAACAGAGCATTTACTAGGATTAGTAACCGTAACTTAATGACTGAATTTTAAATTGTAATTCCTTACTACGCATTACTGAAGAGAGTAACTACAGTACAACAACAATTACACTTTCTGGTGTGTTCTTGCCCAACACTAGTCAAGTTTTCATCCGACTTTAACTTTTAAGTTTGAACAGAATTGAAAATGTGAATTAATGCTGGTTTCCATCCACTACTGCAAACACATGAGTTGGTTGACGGAGATAAACAGCTGCTGTAGCTGATTCTCCAGTCGCTGCCATTAAACCATTGCAGAAGAAGAAGAAGACACAACGAGGTGACGCTCCAGTAGAAGCTCAACATGATGACATCCGACATTTCTGTTAGTGTCGTGTGTTAATGTGAGGAAGGGAACAGCCTCCTCATCGCTGCAGCACATCTGATGTTTGCAGCTGTTTCATGTACGTCAGCATTTATTCACCAAGTCTGCCTCCTTTGCACCAACTTCTCCACCTCAGCCAAGTGTGAAAACCTTTTTTTAATTTGAATTTCTGGCATTAAAATAAAGTGAGTTACATGCACAAATGTGAGAAGTTGTTTAGCGAGGAGTTTACCTTCCTTACTGGGGCATCCCATGTGATGCCTTTGTCATATGACTCTTCGTACTCCAACCTGAATCTACTTGCTAACCTTTGCTAAAGATTACTGGTTTGCTCCAGGTGACGCAGGCAAAAGTTTGTAGCTTACTTGGAAGGTTAAACTGTCAACCTACAGATTATAAACAGTATACACTGGACACTTCAGATTAATTTGTTTTTATAAACCTTTTCCTCTCTGGGATTAAAAGTCATATTTCTGATAGGACATATAAACTGGACTCATTGCTCTTTTCGACTCTTCCCCTCCAGGTGTTTTATCCTATTTGTGATTCAGAATATGCTGTCACAGGAAAGCTGTTTACTCTCCTGGTCTGATGCAGTGTTGCCGGGGAAAGAGAAGGAGAAGTTGATTTAGTTTAGTTCCTGAGGCCAAAGTATTTATGCTGAATGAACTCTTTACTCTTGTTGTTGTTCCCAGAAGAATGTCCAAGGTGAAGAGAGAGGTCGCCAAAGCGCAAAACAAACTCCCTGACAGCAGCTTTTTTTTTTGCAGAGAGTCAACATCTAGGAACTTTGGGCATCGTTAATACTGAAGTCTGCTCCATGAAGGCAGTCTAACGTCTGCGCGTCTTACACCAGTTGGGATTAAATTAAAGATGGATGCTGGAAACACACTGTGTACCAATAAATATTTGAAACCACATTATATATTAAATCAGCACAGAAAGAAAACCGCCGTGCGCCTGAATGACCTTAATGCTCAATTTCAAATTATTGCCAAGACCCGTTGTTTTTTTTTTAAATTTACTGTTCACATTGTTGTTATATGCGGCCCACGTCAGACTCCAGTGGGAACTGGCTCCGGCCTGAAAGTGCGACAAACGACTGACCACATTTTCTTTCATTAGTTTTAGATATTAATACTTCCAAGAAGATGATGTGTTTTGAGGAAACTGACTAGTCCTGTAGCGCCACCATCAGTCTACCTGTTCTAATCTTTACTCAAAAAATGTCTCAATCTACTGGGCAGGTTGCTATAACAACACTGCTGAGCACATTGAGATGATCGTTTTCAATTTTTCTACATGGATATCAACCAGCTGCACATGTTGCTGCAGAGCCCAAAGCGGCCTTAGATAGTAGAGAAAATATTGGTGTGTAAAATCTGTGCGCTTTAACGGCCCAACTAGCATCTGGCATTCAAAATAAAAGTAATGTAATGCAGTATTGTAACTGTCTTAGCTAGGCTAAAAGCACAGAGTAATAATAAACATACCATAATATCCTTAAGTAAAGACTAATAGATTACATAATTTTAATCTCCTTTAACCTCCCTGCCCTTTTTAGATCAAAATGTGCATCTGACATTGCTTTCACCTACAGCATTAGAAACACTGAAACAACAGCTAGATATATTAGTTTCTAAAGTATATTAAACCTGTGTGACGACTATAACTCAGCTTCAACAATTCATTACCACAGCGGAGCGTATATAAGCCCCGCCCCTCTGATAATAGAAATACAAACAGATTCCTGCCTTTACTGGAGAGATAAAAGACAAACAGAAAGAAAAGAATAGACAGTACAGAAAGGCTTATTTATGTTACTGTTGTTACTATCTTACAATAGAGGAACTGTACAGAAGATTAAATCTGTGTTGTTGTCGTGTTTTTCAGTTGTTTGATGTTGGCGCGTGGCCATAATCCACGATCCTTTTGTGTGTCAGTATTACACCAAACCCAGATCCTGAATATCTCCCAGACAATGTATTCACAATGTTTTCAGTCACCAAAGTGTGAGCTGAATCTAAACGTCACGCTGCAGGTATAGAGTGACCAACGCGTCCTGGTGTCTCCTCCTTCCCGTTTCTCCAGGGCGCCCTGCCTTTCGACGATGACAACCTGAGGAATCTTTTGGAGAAGGTGAAGCTGGGAGTTTTCCACATGCCTCACTTCATCCCTCCAGATTGTCAGAACCTTCTGCGCGGTATGATTGAGGTGGATGCCGGCAAAAGGTTCACGGTAAGCTTACCTGACATCACCTCGGCGCCCGGCCCGCCTGCAGAGCAGGAGAGAGCTGAAATCTTCAGTAGACTCGTGCTCGGTTCGCATTTTCACAGTCTGGGCTGTTGCCTTAGGGGCTGCTCAGGCTAAATTTAGCAGAACTGCACCATGACTGGCCCTGCAGCTACTGTGCTGCATAACATCTTTTCATCTCAAGCCAAGGATTTGTTTAGGCTCAGAATAGAAACACTGCAAAAAATAACAAAGGGTGTGTTTAGATAATGTGCTCTCACTCGCAGTTGTTCTGCATGTTATTTGAACTTTGAACAGTCAGTCTGGAATAACAAGCCTGCACATCTGATACTTGAGCAAAATCATAGCAATTCATCTTAAAGGGCCAATCCCCAGTGACTTACATAGTTTTAAAAATCACTGGTTATTTACCACAGTTTATGATTTGCATTGTGAAAGCTCTTACCTAAACTCACCTGCAGTGAGAACACCTAACATTTCCAACAGAGGTCCTTGTTGATTCAGAGGTCCTTGTAAATTATTCTCAGCCCCTGAGAAAACAAATTGAAGGTTTTGGAGAATCGAAATGGCTCGTAGAATGAAGTGCTGCTGCAAGGAGACACGATAAGAGTCTGTTCTTCAAGGCCCCATTCATCTATCTAACTGTTCACTCTGGTCAGGGTTGCAGGGGCCGAAGCTCCTGCGTTGGACAAGAGGCAGAGTAAACCCTGGATCGTTTTTTTTTTTATTATTCAAAATCATGCAATTGCACAAAGCACACATTTGCAGGAAGGCGGGAAGCTTCAGCAAAACAAATAGTGTAGAGTCGCGTAGAGAGCCAAGGATGCTGGAATAAATATTTGTGTGCAGGTGTTATTATGTTAATAATGTTTACTTCCTCTTCTTATTTTCGTTGCAGTTAGAGCAGATCCAGAAGCACACGTGGTACCTGTGAGTATCCACCTGTCCATTTCCTTCCTGTTTCTGTCTGAGTGCTTGTATTTATGTTCACATTTAGGGAGGTATAGAAGGAGAAATTCAGCAGCAGGTAATGCAGAAAAATAATAACACTCATCATCAAAAGCAGTTTTTGAAATCTCTGATGGAAGCTTCTCGGAGAAGAAGCGGGTCCATTAGTCTTGAGAGTGAGAGCTGTGTTTGTCACAAAGCTGAGAGGGCAGCTCAAACATCAGCGCTCTCCATCGCTCCTAATGGACCTCTGATCTCTAATGGAGTTAGTACTTCTGAGTTTCAAATGATTCATTTCAAATTACACTTCAGGTTCAACCAAAACATCAGTAACCTCATATTTAATGTTGCGTATCCCTCAGCGCTGTCCACTGGTTCAGACTTCTGTCAACCACTTGATTACAGTTTGTCCATCAATCCTATTAGTAATAAGAACATCGTACCCTCCAAAGTAAAAGCTGAGATCTGAGAACACAGTGACGGCACCACAAGGATGATTCAGAACGAAAGCCCAGTTCATGTGAACGTTAAACTCCTGATGTATTAGTAAAAATCCTTCAAGTACAAGTACTACAGAAAGAACAGTAGGTCAAAGGTGAAGCAGGAAGTGGTCTGTAAATAGTCAGGGTAATAATTTCCCGGACGTTTAGCTGTTTGTTTTCTCCTCCGAATCCGTTAGTCTAACCTGGAGGTGTCTTTCCAGCCTGTGTGACTGCTCATGTTTGTTAGCTTGGTGAATACTGAGTAATTATTTCTGACTGAACTGATGGCAGAAACGCCAGAAATGCGACACAAACTGATGAGTTGAAGTGTGGCTGAGAATCACAGATTTTGATTGTGTGTTTCTAAAATCATTACCAATTACTGATAGATCTAAATAATAATGAGAATGTGACGCCAGGTGTGACCAATTCATTTATTGTTTTTGTTATTCATTCAATTTTTAGTTTGAATATGTTGCATTATTCAGGACTACCATATATATATATATAGAGAGAGAGAGAGAGAGAGAGAGAATATATTGTTTTTTATTATGTTATTACAGGGATGTTTGATCCTTTTTTATCCTATTAATACATTTTTATTAGGTTTCAAGTTTACCTATTGTCTAATTGTTGTCTACTTATGAATACATTGCACTTATTTGTGTGTTAGCACCCTTTCATTAGTCAGGTGATCCCTGAGCTCGTAATATCGAAGTTGAAATTTATTCCACTACACACTATATTGATCTTTTCACTCTCTTAATGCTTAAATAAAAATAAACTTTTCTACTCTTTTACCACTGACATAGAACTGAAGCATCCACAATTTGAACTCACTAAATGTTTTGTATAGAAATATAATGTATTTGTATTTTAATTTAGTTTATTCCACATGGATTGTTTTGGCTGAAACAAAGCATTTTCTTTCTGCCAAATTTCTCTATTGAGCTCTAACGTGGAGTTTACGCTGCATACCCGACTGCTTCCCTTTCAAGTTGTTAGACTTGTTTGCTTGCTTATCAGGAAGTCTTGTGCAGTTGAGCACGTCTCCCTTCAGGTTTGAGCTGCCCAGTGTGCTCAATTAAAGGCTTTTTCCACCCTAACATGATTTGCATTTTGAGGGAATCATTTGTTCGTACAAGAAAGGTCATCTTCAAAGGCAAAAGCTGCCAGCTACCGGCAACTTTAGTTAAACCCTTTGCTCAGTGCCAGTCTCGGCCTGTCTGTTAGCTGCGTGTGTTGTGTTGCAGAGCTGGAAAGAATGAGCCTGAGCCCGAGCAGCCAGTCCCCAGGAAGGTGGCCATCAGGATGCTCTCTGCGACCGAGGAGATCGACCCAGACGTCCTGGAGAGCATGCACTCCCTGGGCTGCTTCCGAGACAAGGAGAAACTGACCAAAGACCTGCTGTCTGAGGAGTGAGTGAGGTGGAGGAGGAGTGGGAGATAAGGGGTGAAGGAGCTGACAGGATAAATATGAGACAGCTGAGAAATTGTCAGTTTGATGAATTCTTCTGTTTAACGTGTCTTGTGATGATGGAGCATCTTTACCGTCCCGCTCTTAACCAATGGGCACTCAGCTGACAGCGAGCTCTCTGATTCTCTCCAGTGACAACCAGGAAAAGATGATCTACTTCCTGCTGCTGGACCGTAAGGAGAGGTATCCCAGCCAGGAGGACCAGAACCTGCCGCCACGCAATGAGATTGGTATGCCAGTCCACCTGAGTGAAATCAGGCTACAAACTAAGAGTGTTGTTTTTAAACGATAGGTCCCGATTCCAAAGACATGCAGGTTAATTGGTGACTCTAAATTGCCCTTGGTGTGAATGTGAATGGTTGTTTGTCTGTGTGTTGGCCCCGCGATGGACTGGCGGCCTGTCCGGGGAGTACCCCGCCTCCCGCCCAGTGCCAGTTGGTATTGGCTCCTGCGACCCTGTACACAGGATAAGCTGTTGACCGTACAACTGTACAATTTAGTGATTCATCATCAGGTCAGCATTTCATTGTGTCCATCTGTGAAACCAATCAGCCTTTGTGTTTAGTGCTAAATGACATTACAAGGTTGTTTATTTGTCATTACACAAGATCCCATCACAAAAGTCCCTTAATGCTACACATATAGAACTTTACAGATAATTAAATGTGTATTAAAATATGGTAACATATAAATAAAATAAAACTATGTACATACACACAGACACCCAGAAGTTTCTGCAGAGCTGTCATTTTTGGGGAGAATGTAAACAGCAAAAACAAGATGATAATGTTCACATTAAAAAGTCCTGAGTCCATCTTGACTGTGTTTGAGCACCAAGCATCCAGAGTCCAGCTGGAGTCTTGCTCTGACAGCTCGGAAACACGGTCCGCCCGCCGAGTGATTGATCCGGGATGTTGTTGGCGCAGGTCTCTGTAAAGATGTGGGCACAACAGTCTCTAATTTCCGTTGCTTTGCCAACATTTTGTCCAGTCCGGACCTTTAGGGGCAGCCTTAAGTCCAAGCTGGCTCCTAAGCTCAAAGCTGCACACGTAGACCACATAACTCAACCCTCCAGATAAAATTTGTCAAGATAAAAAAAACACTCTTTCTTTAATTCCTGAAAACTGACTTTGGTGATTCGGTTTCCTGACTAGTTTCTGTCCTTGTATTATGCCGTCATTGACCTTTGACCCCTGACCTGACCCTGACATCTCTCAGCAGACCCTCCAAGGAAGCGCGTGGACTCTCCCATGCTGAGCCGTCACGGCAAACGGAGACCGGAGAGGAAGTCCATGGAGGTGCTGAGTGTCACGGAGGGAGGGTCTCCCGTACCGGTGCGACGAGCCATCGACATGGCAACCCACGGTCAGAGGTGAGCGACGGCGATCTGCGCGTGTGTTCACGAGCATGGACAAACATGTGTGACGCACACACAGGTCGACCAACAAGGTTGTTCAACGTGTAATTGATGATGGTTTTTATCTGTTCTGATAAATAATGCATTTAATCCCAGTTCAGCGAAGTACGGGAGGGACGTACAGCTCAGCAGCACTTCTTCAAATTTATACCACAGACGCCGTCTGTTCGCCCTCAGTATGACCTTACTTCACTTCTTCACTTCACTGAGCTGTTTTAACTTCACTGTGAGGTCAGGCCACAGTTTTAAATCCTCCCCTCCTTCGCCAAACTGCGGTTAAATACATGACGCATCATTCTCGCTCTGCCGGTTCTAGATATATACTGTACGTATTACACGAGACCTGACAAACTCCTGTTTCAGTGCGCTCTTAGCTCTGGTGGAAAATCGTAACAAGTGTTTAAGTGCATGGACAGGGCTCTCAGGTGTGTGCTACGTGTGTGTAAAGTGTGCATGGAGCATGCAGTCAGAGAGGACCAGAGGCCTGAAATGTGTTTGGCAAGTTGGTGCATAAAGTGACTGCAGATGTTTGTATTGTTGGCACGGCCTCAAAAAATGTGCGCTAACACTCAGGCTTATTCCGTGAAAGAACATATTTTGTATTCTAGGTATGACATGAGCCTGGACACATGCTCGCTCTAATCAATAAAAAATGATTACTTTATGCGATCAATAAAGCACCATTACACTGAGGTCCAGGTTTACTGAGAACCAGCCACAAGGTCATTTGTACATTTTGTGCATCTTGCATGCAAACTTTTATTTTTCTACTTATATATGGAGTAATGTATGTAAATCAATCCTTTGTGCCCTGGAGTTTCCTTCATGTAAAACTCATTTACTGTAGAGCTTTACATTTTTTCCACTGTCCAGTCATTGTTCCAGTTTATTTCCTAGCAGGTCCTTCACTAGGTTAACAGTCATGCTCATAGTCAGTATGAGTCAGTATTCTGATACATTCTCCCTCCTGACTCGTCACATATGGACGCTTGGTCAAGACCCCCTTTTTTAACGCCCTGGGTACCCTAAAGCAGGGGTCTGCAAATAAGTCTGGCATCGGGCCAAATTAGTTTCAAGTCATTAGAAGGCGGGCCAAAACATCGTCAGTTGACCATTTACATTCCAACATTTACTGTGTGTGCGATTAGCTCAGTTGGTCGTGCACAGGACTCCCGTTTGGAAAGTCATGTTCAATCCTCACGTGCTGAACTGGTAATTTCTTTTCTTCCTTTTTCAAAAAATTGATTTATGTAGAGATCGTATTACATATTATTAAATTTGATTGTGTAGATACCGTGTACATCACAGCGATCTGTCCACATCAACCTATGGACGCTCATTTTCGTGTCCCCAGTATCTCCAGGCAGAGGAAATTCCTGCTTTTCACATTCAGGGAAATCTGATCTGACTGCTTTTTCAGAGGTGTGTCAAGTAAGCCAGAGACTCTTTTGAATTTCCTTCAGAACTTTTCAAAGTTAAAGCTCTCCTTAAACACGACATAAAGCACTGCTGCAAATATGTTCTCGCGCTTTTATTTTGTAGGCACAATCACTGAAAAGGAAGTGATAATGTGAGTAACTTTTGTTATCATGACTGAGATCTGTTTCAACACCAGCTGCTATAATATTATTTTATTTTTTTTTTTAATCAAAGTAATCAGGCCACAGCCCAGATATTATTGGCTTGCGGGCCGCCTGCGTAGGGTCATATTCACCGTCCGGTTAGACTTTAAAAATAAAACTAGTAGTTAACGTTGTGAAACGGAACTATTTGGTTAGGTTTAGGAAAAGATCATGGTTTGGGTTAAAATAACTACATGACTTACGTAATTTAGGTAACTACACGATTTTAAGCCCGATTTGCCATTCGGTGAGCTCGGCGACCGTCCGGCTGTGATCAGGGGTAAATCAGCGATCGATCTGCGGTCAGCAGTCGTTATGTGTGAACTACTCAACGAGGCATCACTGACGCATCGCCGACGCCAGCCAGATATCTAGCGCGCCAAATATCTGGAGGAATCAGCCGACTCCACATCCAGCCAATGAGAGCAGGCAGCTGCCTGCCTATGCTGATCCAGCCTTTCACCCAGATTCTTTGTCTTTAGAATAACAAACAGCTGTTTCGTGTGTAGGTTTGTGTCATGTCACGTTTCACATTTCACGTGTTTTCTTGACCAAACGTGGTTTGGAGACCAGCGTCGGGTGACCGAGCCGCTGTCAGCTCGTGTAGTGTGAACAGCACGGTGATGTGCCGACGCTGAAAGTCGTGTAGTGTGAACAGCACGGTGATGTGCCGACGCTGAAAGTCGCGTAGTGTGAACAGCACGGTGATGTGCCGACGCTGAAAGTCGCGTAGTGTGAACAGCACGGTGATGTGCCGACGCTGTAAGTCGTGTAGTGTGAACAGCACGGTGATGTGCCGACGCTGAAAGTTGTGTAGTGTGAACAGCACGGTGATGTGCCGACGCTGAAAGTCGTGTAGTGTGAACAGCACGGTGATGTGCCGACGCTGAAAGTCGTGTAGTGTGAACAGCACGGTGATGTGCCGACGCTGAAAGTCGTGTAGTCTGCACGAGCCTTAAGTTTCATTTGTTTCGATGAACAGTGGTCTCCTGGGTAAAAGTCCGGTTTCTGACCCACCCATCTACCCAACCACCTCCTTACTCTGACCTCTCTTAGTTATACTCAGCCTAGTTTTAGCGTTCAACAATGACACTAAAGGGCTTCCTCCACTGCGTTACTATCTGACGCCGAGGGGTCTTGATCATGCATCCTTATGTGACGACATGGGAGATCCATACACTAGGTTGTCTCGTTATGTCCACACAGTAACAGACCGTGAGATGCAGTTTAAAGTCTGCTGTGTATTTCAACAATCATTTCACAGCGGACACAAATGTACACTGTGATGATTTCTTCAAGTTTAGCAACCTCTAAATGTCGGTTTTCATAGCTTACTGTAATTAATGGAAACTAACAGCTGCCTGAGATGTTCGAAAACCTTATAAAATATTTGCTATATGCTTCTGGAAATGGTCAGTTGTGATCTAAGGTATGTGTGACTGGTAGCTATTAAGCATATAAAACCCTTTGAAGAGCTCTCATCTTCACTAATTGAGTAACTTCAGGGAGTTAGTGTTTGAGGCGCTTCCAAACTGGCTCTAATAAAAACATTTTCATTAAATGTATATCTAATGCAATGACTGAAACAGAGAGGTAGCTCTCTTTTGTTACAGAATTTTTACTGAATAGCAGGCTGGGATTTGTGAAGCATTTCAGAAGACGTTTTCAAAGTACTTTGACAGTCAGTGAAAACAACAGACCAGCAGCGCTCAAGTAAGGCAACAAAACAATGTCAAATAAGAGTAATGACGTATGGCAAACAGTAAACACTAAATAAAAGATAAAACAAAAAAGACCGAAAGAATAAAACATGAAAAGATGAAATGAATGGCGTCACATTACATAAAAGCGAGTGGATAAAGTTTGGTTGGCTGAGTTGAGGTTAAGCAGCTTTAACGTTGAGCTGTTTGCCCTGAATCTACATTCATTTGGCCGTCATTTAGTATCTCTGAGACGGGCAGTCCGAGCACTGCAGTGTCTACAGTTACCAGAAAGAAATGTTTCCCAAAAAATAAATATTTTTACCTTCCACCTCCTCCAGGAGCTGCTTTGATTCACCATTCTGCAAAATGATGACAGAAGATGTTCAGTTTAAAGTAGATGTGCAGCTGGAACCTGCTGGAGAAGAGAGAGGCGTTTCAGAAGAGGGTTTTATTTATGTCATTAATGTTCACATGTAATGATATTAAATATAAAAATATAAATCTGCTCTGACATCCTTCAGAATCTTCATAATTTAAGAGTCATTTATCATCAACATTCATCTGAAACTCGAGTCTGGATCTGAAGCTCAGCCTCAATCTCAACTCGTCACATACGGGCGGGCTGTGATCAAGACCCCCTTTAACGCCCTGGGTACCCTTTTGGGTCATTTTTGGACATGTTCCACGGCTCCACGGTGAAATTAGCAAAAATAAATATGCAACATCTGGTTAGACTTTCACAATAAAACTACTAGTTTACATTATTAATGCTGTAAAGTGATGCAGTTTGGTTTAGGCACCAAAACTACTTGGTTAAGTTTAGAAAAACCGTGGTTACTGACGTGTCTTAACTTACGTCAGTTAAGTTATGTTACTTGTGTAACTTACATAACCTACTGAACGAATAAAAACACTCAATATTGACTGTTTTGTTTCACACAGGAAACGAACACCAGACTCCTGGGTGAAAGTTTTAGCTTCAGTCACGAAATCACATAATAACTCTAACTACTATTTTCACAATCTTATACAGTTTTACAACAAACTGCCACTTTCTTGACTTAAATTATCTTTTAAATTGACAAACATCATGTGTGTAATTTAGGGATGAAAAAATGCGTTGCCTCTCATTGTTACTACTGTACGTACTCTTTTCCAAACAAGGTCCCATGGTGGTCCACCGGAAAGGCTCTCTAGCTGTAGAGGAGAGATGAGTCTCTGCTGCTGTTGCAGTGCATCAGTTTTTCAGCAACATAGCAGTTCTATCAACATGTGCTGGACCAACAGTCAGCGCTTCACAGAACTGAATCAGCCTCCTGATCATTAGACGTTCTCACAAGCAGCATTAAGTTTCATTTGTCCGCTCTGACACGGCGCTCGTAGATCAGGTTCACACAGCAGGACCTGATTTGTTATCGTCACAGAGCCTGCTTTAGCTGCTGTGCTGTTTTTACACTTCTGACGCTCTGTCCTCGCGGATGAACGATTCAGCAGAGTTTATAAAGCTGAACATTAAAACCGTGTAAACAAGTTCCAGGAGATGGATGTATGTCGAAATAGTTTCTGTAGCGTGTTGAATGTCCCGCTGGCTCGAGCATGACCCATGAACGGGTTTTCTCCTCCTGGTTTTTGTCTTCTGATTTCTCAATCTGTGCATGCTCTGAGTTTTGTGTTGCTCTTTGTTTCATGGTGATTTTTTTTTTCATTGCATAAATTTAAAGTTTGTTTCTTTTTAGTGCTGCATGACGTGCATTAGGATTCCACTTATGTGACTGCCTTTCTGTCTTGTCTATTGATTTTCTGTCTACCCCTCCTTTTTAGCAAATCAGTTTTCAGTAAAAGCTTGGATATCACAAACGCTAACTGCAGCAAGGAAGAAAGGTATTGGTCGGCTCCGTTCGTCGTACTTCCTCTGTTTATATGTGGTGTTAGATCCATTGTGTTCCTTTGTTTTAAGCATCCATTAGTTTAGTGTTTAGTGCTTGCTAAAGTCCTCCACATGTCTTTGTCTTTCCCTTTTTAATGTTGCATGTTCTTTTAGCTAAAAGTCTTTTACTTATTTAACTTTGTAACAGAAATGAAAACATAAATATCTCAGAAAAACACTGAAAATCTGCACTTATTTCAAGAATAACTTGAAGTGATGTCGGCGAGGAAAAAAAAAAAATGCTGCATTAGCAAAATGAAAAGTCACAATTTTTGAAACGGGTTGAAATTATGTCACTGCAGTTTTTCACTGGTTTAAACATATATAAATATAAAATAAATGGGATACATAAATATAAATAAGGAATAATCCGCATAATAGACTTTGTGCAATGTGGTATTTACATTTATGTGCAATTGAGTTGCGTTTGTACAAATCACAACAGAAAACTGAGTTTACAAACAAAAAATTCCTTTTTTTTCTAGCCAAACACCCCTTTATAGCATATGAACTCATTACCGCTCAGTCAGCGCTGCTTGCCCTACGATGACGGTATGTCGACTCAAATGCTTGGTCGTCTGGCGGACATGTGTCCTTGGGAGTTGGGAGACACCAGAGAAAGAACAACACTCCGAGAGAATAAAGATGACCGTAACGCTGCACTCAAGTGTAATATGAAAAGGAGAGGATCGTCACCAACTCTGCAGCTCTACGGAGCTTTTTAGCCTCTTTCAGCTCCTAGTTTTAGCACATTTTCTGCCAGGTCAGCGTTTCCAGCAGCAGCAAACAGCAGACACAGATCAGCTGGTGGGTTAGGAGGTAGCAGCTCCTCAGGGGTTGGTGGAGACCAAACTAGAGCTAAAAGGAAAGCGATTATTGGACTCAACATTCAGGAATATTAATGTTACGCTGTGTCTGCTGGATGTGCAAATAGGCAATTGATTAACCATAGCTCTTTTATAATGTGTCATATGTTTTTTAATGTGTCTTGTAGATCTTCTGCCACAAAGTGAAAATAATCAGTTAACGTAGATGAAGTGGCGTGCGTTTTACCAGTTTAGTTTGTTCATTTTCATGAAAACATAGCTTTTGTAGCCCAACGATGTGTCGAGTATCAGCATTAGATTAGATCCAGCATGATGCCACATAGTGAACATATCCTAAGGTAAATTAAAGATGCTAGAAGGTAACACTGATACCAAACCCCTGACTGTATCAGCGTGTTGACTGCGAGAGAAGGAGCTTAAAATCTTCTTCTCTGTGAAATCTGAAAAATAGCACACTCTCCTCTTTGCACCCACTTCCTCTTTGACGTTATTCCCGCAGCCCTCGGGGGGCAAAGAGAATTTTTAGGTCAACTTTTCTTTCTCTCTCTCGCTCCCTCCTTCCCTCCTTCCTTCCACCCATCTTCACTCCTCATTGTCAGTGTGTGTGGGTGAGTTTACATTTGTTTGTGCCAGTCTGTTATGTCAGTGAAGCACAGGGGAGGTCGTTTTCATCATCCGTGCCGTCTCCAGCCTCCCTGCGTGGCTGACCTTGTGCCGGGGAAACACAGTTTGTCGATGTATTCGCAGCCCGATGCAGATTAGCATAAATTAATTGCCAGGAATGCAGATGGAGCACAAACAGGATATGGAAATAAGGCTCTCACTCCCTCTGAATACTCCTTTATCTGCTCATCATCTAATTGGGGAGATCCATAAAATGAAGCATGTTGCGTTCTCCTCTTACGCTCCCTCTCTCACCAGCGGTGAACCATGAATTCATTTTCAGATTTCAAACACCAGCCGGCACCAGCTTCCCGAGTGTGGACCGGACGGGTGTCACAGTTAATGAGTTGCATGTGAATTGTCTGACGGTGTGGAGAGTCTCCTCACCGTCATTAATGGAGCAGCGTTGTGCGCTGGCAGTCATTTGACACTTCCTCAATATTAGTTAACACAGCAGATACTGTATGTGTGACTCTGATCAGCACAAACCTGTAGGTAACGGGCAGATCGGCATGCATGAGCAAGCAGCTCTGATCAGCGTGTTTGTTACTGGAAGGGAGAAGGAGATTTTATTATTTTACATGTGCAGGCGAACAAACAGTGAATGTATCTGAGATGTCACACGCACGCATTTTATTGAAGTTTGAAGACTTTCTTCGGTTGCAACACATTCTCACTCCCCACTCGTCACATGTTGACGCTTGGTCAAGGCCCTTTGGCGTCGCTTATTAACGCCGTGCGTACCCCTTTAGTGTCATTTTCAGATGCTTAAGGCTCCACGGTCAAGTTAGCAACAACAAATATGCAACGTCCTGTAAAGTTAGCAAATAGGCAACGTCCAGTTAGACTTTCAAAAAAAACGCTAGCGTTTCAAAACATCGCTATTTCGAAATGTTCTTAAAGTCGTGAAACAATTTGATTCGGTTTAGGCACAAAAACTAGTTGGTTAAGGTTCGGAAAAGATCCTGGTTTGGGTAAAAATAACTACGTAGGTAAGTTAACATGTAAGTTAACCAACGTCACTTGCCTAACTTTTGCAATTTACGTATCTCGTGTAACTTATATAAAATAATTAATATCGACTTATGACATGAACCCCAGACGCCCTCCATCCACCCCAAGCACCTCCTTTCTCAGTCTTTTCTGTTAAATATCATATACCTGCCGCTACAGGGCTTCGCCCACTGCGTTGAACCATGACGCTACGGGGATCCTCAGTGCGTTACAAACTGACGCCATGCGTCCATATGTGACGAGGGGAGGGAAAACGGGTTGTTTCTTCCGGTCCAGGTCTAAAGATACAGTATTACACAGCAATTGTTTGTCAAGTTTAAACAGACTAAACAATTGAAATTTGATTCCATCAGTCTGCTGTAGATCATACGGCTGATTTTTAACAAACTGTTTTTGTAGTTGTCACCACACCTGTGCTGAAGACAGAAACAACTAAAACAAGAAGGGCAGATTCTTAAGGATCACCGCCTCTATAAAATAAGCATTAAGTTTTTATTTGTCGCATGAAGACATGATCGTTTTCATCAGCCAGTTACATACATGACTGTACGGGGAAGATACTTAGAGAAACCCTTTCACAACATGCCTCATGATGGCTTATTATGAGACACGAGAGAGAAACAAAGAAAAGATGCAACAGTATTTATAATGACAATTATATAGACAAAATTACCACCATTGCCACTGAGCACTTTCTTCGCTTTGAATAGAAAATTGTGTAAAGTTGTCTCGTATGCCGACGACACAGCTGCTGATTTAATGGCGGTGATGTCATCCCTCCTTTATGTATGTGTGTGTGTCTTCAAGCATATTTAATTATGATTTACCGTTTTCATTTTTCACTTCCAACAAAGCCAAATTGTCTATGGGCAATTAAATCCCAAGTCTTCAGAGACATCAGCAGGCCTGTTTGGTTTTGGTAAAAGAGTGTGTGTGTGTGTGTGTGTGTGTGTGTGAGGGGTGATCCGAAACACCATTTGAGCGAAAAAGAGGGAGAAATGTAAAGTTAATGATACGTAAATGAAAAATGAAAAAGCTCATGAAGAGAAGAAAAGAGAAACAGTGCTAATGAATTTTACTGTGTGTGTGTGTGCGTGCGCGCGCGGTATAACGCTGACCTGTCCTGAACTATTTATAGATATTGACTTTAATCCAGACTGTTGCTCATGTTGGAGTGTTGCGGAGTGTAAACAGGACTCAGAATAACGAGGCTAATGTCATCTACAAAATGCTGCTACAAGCTCTGGTCACACTGCAAACCTGCAAACTGTCGGTTCAACATTTTGTTCCAGACTTAAACATCTCCAAAGAAATTGGATGGATGGTCATGAATACCGTGTGTTATTTTCTTCTCATGCTGCAGTAAACACATAACGGGGCACTTTTACTCAATGAATGGACAGAACTTTGTGACGTCAGAGATGCAGGTAAAAATCCAGGACTAAAACTGAGAGGAAGAGAGTCATGTCCTCCCGAAGGACAGAGTAATAAAAGATTTCGTGAAAACTCCCGATGACAGTCTTTGCTCATTGATCCGTCCTTGTTTGAGAGCAAATTACCTTCAATCTGCTCTGAGTTCAGATTAGTTGGATTTCTAAAACAACTACACAAAGAGGTTTGGGGATGTTGTGTGCACCTGTTGTTTGTGTGTTGTTGTGTCGTGTAGTTTGCTGGACAGTGTGTGAACCGGTGTATTGTGTACTGATTTCCCTTTGTGTTTGTGTAGATCGCGGTCGATCAGCGGCGCGTCCTCCGGTCTGTCCACCAGTCCTCTCAGCAGTCCAAGGGTAAGTGTGTCCTCCCCACGCACTGACTGTTTTCCCACAATGCCACCTCACTGACTGGCTCTGCTGGTATGTTGTTGCGCTCACGTTCACTTCAGCCTCTCGTGACACCATCACTGTGGACTTCATTATAAGCCTGTTTGATGTACAGCTGAGCCAGAATCAGATTGTTAAAGAGACAAAACTCCGAGTTACATTGCAAGTCTGCAGGAAATATAAGAAATATTTCATGAGCACAGATCTGAGATTTGTGAGAAATGTCAAAATGTAAATGACTAAACACTGTGTTGTTCTATCTTCTCTACTTTCTTACTGAAAGACAAAATGTGTGAAGCTGTTTAGATTAGGGTAAGCAGTACATAAACACCCCAAATGTTCTTTACACAGGATTTAAAAACTAAGGCAAGCATGACTAACCATCGCTGGTTTAGTAGATCCACTTATCTGACGCTAATGCAGCCTAATCCCGCAGTAATGTTCATGTTCATGATGGTTATAAAGTTCAGTTTATGGCCCTGTTCAATTATTAGGGCTGGGTACCCTTAAAGTGATACCAACACCAATACCACTATAGGCCATAATTATTATTATAATTGACAATTAAGGAGATCTATTTTTTTTAATTGTTTGAAATAACTATTAAAACTACTATTATATAAAAATATTGGGAACTTGTATCAGATCATCCTAAGTAGGTCATCCACATGCGTATAATCAGAGGAAGGACCTCAGCTTGGGAGGTGTTTTTGTATTTAAATGAGAGAGGAGGAGTGAAATATTTGGCTAATATTATTTATTATTATATATTTATTTATTTAATTATTATTAGTTTTTTTGGTGCAAATACCTTAAAGGTATCGAGTACCGATACCCTATCATTTGTAATGTGTTATCCTGAGAGGTGTTAATCATTTTCTGTCCGTGCCATTTTTATCAGTGAGGGCAGAAAGAATAAACTGGCAACTGACCACATTTTAATAGATTTTAATTAAATATATCAGTTGTAGTGTCGAAATAGACACATCTAATAAAGTAGTTCCGTCTCTAGGGTCCAGACTCTGAATCCGTAATGAGAGTTAAACACAGGTTAAGACTTTAAATTGTATCCCTCCCACTTGCAACTGCTCTTTGTCATTAATCATTAAGCTTGTCTTGTCTGTGGTAAAGGCTGAATACATGACAGCAGCGACAGTATGGAGACAGATCCACTGGTGGAGACACAAACAGCTTATGCAACTGCTGACACTATCCACATACTTATTCAGACGTATCATTCTGATTTCTGTACGATGGCATAATGATCTCCACAGTGAGAGGCTTCATCACCGTGACTTGTTATGTCAGTCTACATGAACACTATTTTATAACGGGCTACTCTATGGACATATACATGAGAATTAGAAGCTGAACCGTCGGCTGCTGTTCATCCTCCCATCAAGGTCGATGTGAGCGGCTTTAAGTCAGGCTGCACTGTACGTCACACAGCTTTAGATGAAGTGGGACCGGATCCGTCGGAGGCCAAACACCAAACTCCAGATGAGATCTGTTGATTTAATGTCCACATAGAACAGATTCTCATGCAGCCGCAGATTAGTTGAAGAATTGATCCATCGCTCTCAAGAGAAAACGCCTGAAAACTGCTGTGCAAATCAACCAACCTGCAGCTTCCATGTGCAGCTTCTGTGTTTTTTTAGTAAAGCCATGCATCTTTTAAACCAGCCCTCAGCAAGGACACAGGCCGTGTACCATCAAACATTCGCTCTCTTGCAAGCCACGCAGAACCTTTCACTTTATATTGGATGTCATTGTTTTATTCTTCAAGGCGCATTCTTCTGATCTGCTCATTTGTTTAGTTTGCAAAGTAATGAATAAAAGTCATCGGGCCTCATGCAAGAATGTTCTGCTAAACTACTTTCTAAACACTTTTCCTGGGAGATTTGTTTGCATGAGTGCTCCAAGTCAGATCGAATCACCTCTCTTAACTGCACAAACACACCTCGCAGCTCGGAGTCAGACGAAAGCGTAACAACATTTAGCGGTGTCAGTATTTCTATTAGGAGACCCGAAGAGAGATCAGATATTACTACAGCTGTCACCGCTGTGTCACCGCGGAGCCGCACCGTGACAGAAATAAAGAAATGGTTTGACATGAAGTCAGACATCTTGCTAAAGTGCTTCTGCGTGGACAGAGGATGTTCACATGGACATGCCCCCTACATAATAACTCTACGGTTCTCGGGACTGTCCCACAACTTCTAAATTGTAGAATTTGTCACGTCAGAATACACACAAAGGAAAAATAGGATGTTGTCAAACCACGATGCCGATCACACTCAAATGGAAACTTTATATTGCACAACACAGTTGATACAACACAGGAGCCGGTTAGGTTAAGTTTACTCTTGAGAAACAAATGAACAGAATATACATTTTACATAAAGTTTCATTTTCTTTGTTTTTTTTGGGTAACATTTATTTTGACGTTGCGGTTCATGGTTGGCACCTTTAGCTACTCTGGTTGATATGTGAGCAGACATTTTCAAAGAGGCGACGTCACTCACTTTGCAAAAGACAGCTTGTCCGTGCATTCACTGCGTCATACAAGCAGTACACGTATGCTAGAGTTAAACAAGCTGAAAACTTCATGACTGAACTGAACAAACAGCGACGGGAGATAAAACACCGGCGCCACCAGCTCGCAGTCTGCCTCGTTGGATTGAATAGCTTGACGTGGACCAAGCTCACTGACATAAAGGTGGTGTGGTTTTAAAAGAGGATGTTGATCAAAAGTCAGTCTGCTAACTATGTCGAAACTGTTACCGTTAAAGAACTAACTAACGTCCGCTCAGCTGTCCACGACGGCCTGAACCAGCAGAGGTACCAGCACAGAAACAGATGAAATGGTTTACTCATACTGTATGATGTCAGTATACTTCTGTGTTTTATATGTTTTACTGAAATGCTTCAGTTTTTACTAAATAAATAAGACATAAGCAACAGCTAATATGCAATTAACTAGAGCGAGCCAGTACAATATTAGACTTTCACCAACACAGTTTGGAAGGATGCCACATATTGTCTAATTATCGTTATCGACAAAATCCCGGAAAAATATCCGGAGACCAATTTATGTTAATATCGCACTCCTAGTGTGTCTGTGGATTAGCACATCCTGACTGTTGTACCTTCATCTTATATCCATATAACAACTTTGGTGGTCTGTGGAGGAAACCAGACATGACCTGAAAGACAGAGGACCATTTGGGAATCTGAATCTGAATCAGAATCCGCTTTATTTGCCAGTGTATGTGGACACATACAAGGAGTTGACTCAGGATTGTGCATTGCTGACGATGCACTTGCTTATACAATAATAGAATAATAAAATCAAACACGGCTACAGTGTAGAGAAACATACATACACACTAGAAACAGAAACAATATAGACAGATTGAGACAATAGAGTAATAGTGAATAATCGTGAATTTAGTTTGTCCGAGGGAAAACATTGGCACCGGTCGCTAAGGAAGACAGTGTGTTGCATGAAGCCCATAGCACTAAAGAAGAAGAATCAGAAAGAATTAAAGTTTGTAAATCTTACACAGAACACACTTCCCCTGGTCATTGAAACAACATGAGCTTCATGAAAAGCAGTGTGCACACATGCTTTCCTATG